CTTTTTGTTTGTGAAATTTTCTCCTTTTTTTTATCCACTCACTTCTCCATCTGCTTTCACTTTTGTTTGCTTGGGCCGTCTCTCATCCCAACTTGATAATGAGGAATGCGGTGTGACCCTGACCTCTATCAGCCCATGCATGACCTCCTGACTCCCCCACATAACCTTTGACCTTCTCTTTGACAGCTTGATTAATTACCCTGTGTTATGATTTATGAGTAAGTGCTATGTAAAAATAATAGACAACAGGTGGTCCTCTAAAAACTTTTTGTGGCATGTTTTCTTTTCCTGCCTAACTTGATGAGCTATTTTAAGTTGGGAACTTAGTGAGACAATGTGTGTTTGGCAGTAACACAGCATTTTTACACACTTGGACACAGTGCTGGAATTCAGGCAGCCGAGGTGTAGCCGGGATGGAAATATCGCAAAGTATTAGCAGGGTGCAGTTGCCAAAATGTACATTGGGTGGAAACAGAAAGCGGAGTCAACTGACATTTCAGGCGTTTCAGTCTCAGGTCACGTCTTGAGAAAATTGCTCAAATAATGGAGGGGGCATTTTTCAAGCTGAGCTGCATCTCCAACAGCTATGTTTACTTTAACGCTTCACTAGTGACTTCTGATTGGTTGTCATGACCTCATCCCACTGTTGCACCTACGATGTCGCAACAGTGACATCGATGTACCCTTCTCGTGGAAAAGATGGGAAATGAACAGAACATACATCTTTCAGAAAGATGAATGGGCATTGCTGTGTCCATTTTAACCACGGGCAGATTTAAGAGCTGAGCACTTTGAGTTGCATTTCCCCTGGGAATTAACTCCGGTCTTGTTGCCAACGTTCCAAATAGAAACCTGAACTTGAAAATTCAGGTTGATAAAGCTTAGGAAAATGATCTCTTTCAGACCCTCGCTCGCAGTCCAAAAAAGATAGTTACATAGGTCAAAAGATTCCTCTCTAGCCCTGACCTCTCTGGTCACATATGGTGTCCCATCTTGGTGGATTAATATGCAGAGCTGAATGCTTTCAGCTCATTATTCATGTGGCCAGGCAGAAGAGATTTCAAAAGATTTGGAATTTACCTCAAATACTTCGGGGTTCCTTTTTTTAACCTTACTGTTGTTGTCAGAGGCAATAATTTTGGTATTGCTTCCCTTTCAAACATCTTGCTTGAACTTCCAGTAAGAGGCAGAAAGTACCACCCCATTTTATGGTGGAAAAGGTCCTTCTACGTTGTTTTGGCTTTGTAGTAAAGGTATTGTAACCGAGATTCATCATTCTTTCCAACACTTGACTTGTCAGCCTGCTTTTCCTTTCATCATCATTTGCATTAATCATAAGTATTAACTGTATTTGTATTTATGAACCTAAAAGTAGAGTTCGCACACAGTCCTCTACCTCCAGAAGTAGTTACCTGGAGGATGCTGGTAGGCAGTGTAGATTACATTTTACTTACCTTGAAGCGTTAGAATTTGGGGAAATAGCTGTTAATTGGGTGTTGTAGTCTGAGAGAGAAACTGTAGTTGTACCCGCTGAACTCATAGATCAGAGGCTAGGACTTGTATTTGTCAGTGTCTGTCCTTATTATTGCATCTCATCACAGATATACTAATGGGGAATGCAGGCAGGCCTTGGCTTCTGTGCAACATCTGTATTCTCTCAGCCATGTGGTAGATAGAGCATGGGGCTTGGCTTCTTTCAGTCAGCTGAAGATTGATGGGTGGGGGGCTTGTCCCAAAGTTTAGCTGTTTACCATGAAAAAACTTTGCGCTTTAGAGAGTGGTTTCTCCTTCTGTATGCACTGGACACACAGGAGAAAACTACTCCAATATTACATACTTTGAAAACAATACCTAATGTTTTACTGATGGTGGCAAGCTTTAAAACTCTCCTGGATGATGGTACTTACTTGCAGCGTAGGCAGCTACATCTTAAGAATGGTGTAAACTCATCATAGCTGAAATTGATGTTTTTAATGACAATGTGAGGTATATACTTCTGAACACAACTTTAATTTAAAAAGGTACTTTTTAATGAATGTGATTTTGTCTTTGCTTAGCAGCCATGCCAAAGACTGTGTAACTGGACCATTACTAAAATTTACTAAAGGCCTTTTTTTAGGTATTAGTGGTCTTGTGTGGTCAGTTTTGCATTGACTTGCACTCTGCTCAACACCACTGTGTTACTGAGGAGTTCCACCTTTTTTTTCATTTCCTGATTGCTCTGAACTTTAATGGTGCAGCTATGCTCATGTGAAATACATTTTTTAAAAATTAATTGAAATTAAAAGCCACGTTGTTTACATAGATGTTATTTGGAGCTGAGTATTCCTTTTCAGTAGAAAATGCTTGGGCTAAGGCTGAATGAGAGAGGTTGTAATTGAGTACACTTTTACCAGTCTTTTTGTTTTTCCATGTTGCTTTATATGTGTTACTGTCAAGTCTTCTTTCTGGTGCCATTGTTTACATCTTGCAAACTAGGATGCAGAAGTACAAGGGAATGGGAAATACACTACACTGTGTAAGCAAAACAATCTGAAAAGAGATAACTTTCCTAAGAGAAAGTCTTACAAATCGTAAGGTTTTGTTTTTTCTCAATTATAAGAAAGCCTATCTCAGTTTTTACTTAATTATTTTAATTGTACTGACAGGAAAAGCCTGCTATCTGGGAGAAATTTAAAAAAAAAATTTAAAGGAGACATGTTACACTGCTTAAAATATAATTGATAAAAATCCTTTAATTGATTTATGAAATAGTGAATTTAAAAATGGAATCATATTTCATCTGTTGATGTCTATGTGAAAAATTGACATTGTGTCCTCATAAAATTGGACAAATGAGTCATGTAATTTTCAGTTACATAATCAATAACTTAGACAAATTCTACTTCTTTGATGATTTATGTGTCTGTTTTGTGGTCAGCTTAAAGTGGACAGAGTTTCAAATCCCTGTAACACTTGTAGACCTGTGATAAACACATGAATTTTGCGTTTGGCATTGTATAGAAAGCAAAACGAATCGATACGCGGAGCGTCTCTGCTCAAAACAAGCGGGTCAAGAAGATGAACAGCATAGAGAGCCCCAAAACCACCAGCCTGCCAAGTGCTGTGAAAACTTGGTCCTACTGTGCCACTAGTGAGCTCAAAAACCCATCCTTTCCTCTGAGGCGTGTAATTTAGGAATGTTCGTAAGTGGTACTCTCCCCTGCAGTGGATTTCAAGCTTCGAATTTTCCAAGTTCGAAATTTTATCTGTTAATAGTACAGCGTTGTGTTTTAGCGTGACCAGCAATGGCGTGGGTAGATCTTAAACTTTTTTATCGTCCTTAATTTTCCCTTTTCCTTTGCCCTCCCCCCCTTCATTTATTTATTTATTTGCCTGTTTGTTTATATTTATCCCAGTTCAATTCACTCAGCAGGGAGGGCAGGGGAGCAACATGACAGGAGACCACTTACTCAGGGCGCCGCGTCTAGCGAGGAGGCAATTTTCTCTTTGGCCTATGGTGACCTTTTTTGACTACGTCCCTTACGCCAGAGACAGTGTCCTGAATGCCGCTATTTCACCCTGTTTAGCAGAGTGCAACCGTGCCCTTTAACTTGGTTTTTGGTGGGAGGAGAAGCTACGGCAGACGTTTGAGAAGGGCACAAGGACGAGGGGTAGGAACTCCCTTCAGATGCGATTTTGATAACTAGTCGAGTGTGTCCAACTGTAGAAAATCACCGAGTGACAATCTGTCTACCTGACAGTGGCCACAATGCGCTACAAGGTTTGTGAATGGCTCTACAGATTAGAATAAAGCAAGCCCAAATAAAGTATCTTTTGTTGGCGTGGGCTTGGTTTGCTCTGGCCAGCTAGGTATGGGGACCTCTTTGATCCTCATGCCTAGCCCAAGTGCAAAACGAAGCACCAAGTGAAAAGCTGGAATAAAGCTGTTCGGTAAGATAATTAATATAGACGTTTCCAAAAAGTAAGTCTTTATTAAAATTTACTTTTAAAGGACAGCTTGATTTTGACTGGGAACCCATGGTAACTTTAAGGACTCATCTGTTAAATGCACGTGCTTCTCTTTTCTCCCCGCATTTGCGATTATATCTTCCACGAATATTACAATTCTTGTGTGATTTGCCATCATTTAAAAATCATAATAAAATGATTGGCTGATTTATTCAAGATTTATTTCTCATTCATAAATTCATGTATTTTTCAACTGGCTCATTTTCTGAGGCACAAAAATGCAGCTGGTATGCTCAAAAGCATCCTGCAGGTCACAAATTTTCTCTGGGTTTGTTGAATACAGGACATAATCCCAGTGAAGTTTCAGAGCAGATTTAAAGATGTACTTAAAAGTCATCCCCACAGTAAAAGAGTTGACTTGTAAGCAATACCACTGAATCAGTTTTGGTATTGATTCATTGTTACTGCCGCTATTGGCTTCTGCATGGTATGCTTGTTGTCAGCTAGACAAAAGGTTTTACTATTTTAAACTGCGGTGAATAATTTTCACATGCTTTCTTTAATACATATATATATGTGTGTGTGTGTGTGTGTGAAATCCCTCCATCCTTTTTATTTTAAAGGTTTTTATTGGGTGGGTATAAAGCTTTTTATTCATCATTATGTAGAGTTCTTAAAATAATATTTTGCTTTTAGTTCTCATACTGTTTTCTGAAAAAGTCGTATAAAGTGCTTATGAATAAAACAACATATTAAATTATTTTAAAGGTAAAACAGGCAACTTTTCTGACGCTGAGGGATGTGTATGAGCATAAGTGCACGCACAGACACATATTCACACATCAATATCCCTTTAATGACAGAAATGAAACAAACAGAATATTCTTAAAATGCCCTTCTATAAATTATGTTGTGTGAACTTACTGAAATAAATATAAAAGTTTTTAAGAGCATTAAAGTAAATGCAAAGCATTTTCAAGCATTAAATCTCCCTTTTCATATTTCTTCTTTTTGTGTGTGTGTGTGTGTATGTGTCTCTTCTAAAACAGGAAGGCTATGGAGTAATAGTACTGAATCCCAATGAGAACTATATTGAAGTGGAGAAGACAAAAGCCCAAGTACAGCTGTCTTCTGATAGCTCAGATGAACCTGCAGAAAAGAGGGAAAGAAAAGATAAAATCCAGAAGGAAACAAAGAAGCGACGTGACTTCTACGAAAAGTATCGAAATCCACAAAAAGAAAAAGAAACTATGCAGATGTATATTAGAGTAAGTTTCTTTTTGTTTTGTTTGCCCTTCTTTAATGATGTATAGATATGTTTACTGTCCATATTGGCTAGTAAACAGCATGCTTTTTAAAAACCAAAGACATTCCCGAGATGGCATTCAAGTGTTCATACAGAGTTCCTGGCTCTTTATTCTATTGATATTTTTTGTCACTTATTGAATGTGAAGTTTTGGAAGAGTTACAAAACATTCCTTTCTAATTTCAAAGGGGAACTTCAAATGAACCCCAGAGGAACTCAGTGGTGCTATCAAGAAAGAGAATGATTTAAGGAAGACTTTGTAAAAATGATTTTATAAACAGAGGTGTGCATAAGAAACCTTCTACTGCAGCTTAGGCAACATATTAGCTTCACATGTCATGCATGCATTTATTGTATTATATTCTTTTATATTGGGGAGGCAGTAGTTATAGCTTTATAGTTTTTTAACATATTACCTGCTGAATTAATAATGTACTGTGGAAAATACCGGTGTTCATCTTGTGTGGTAGCAGATTTACCCTATAATGTATTGTTTTCGTATGAGCAGTCATCCATTGTGTTTCAGCTGAACTTCTGAAGGCAGATAAAGGAGGAGAGTTATTAATATCTTAATAAATATTTAAGCTAGAATAGTTCGAGAATGGTGTAATGAGGAAACTCTGTCCCTTGCTCTTTTCTTACTCAGTGAACCTTTGCACTTTGTAATGCTACCAGCATGGGATCGTTATAACAGTGCTACCCGAGGATTTCTAATTCTGCAGGGGGCACAAACAATATTATTTGCACTTTGACACATTCTGCTTCATATACATACTATGCATTATACATTTGAGACTGAGTCATGCAATTTCCAAAGCCCTTATTATGAAAGTTAGCATTTTCATTCAATGGTAAAACAATGTCAGAAATGCCACAGTGTAGTTGAAACAGTAAAAACATATATCCCTTTCTGGTGCGAAACAGAGAAAAATCCAGTCGAAGACATGTTAGAATCATCTTAAATTTTAATGTGTTTCTATTAATTGTGGTTTAGCATAACAATGTTTGTGGGAGAAATACAGCTGTACTGGCTAGTTAAAAGAGTTTGTAACCTGGATGCAAGATTATCACTAATACCGTAAATTTTACTGTCTCTTTTGAGAAATATCTTGCTACTGAGTATGGGGAACAAAAGGATGCATACACATATTCAGAGTCACCAACAGGGCAGTGGTGTTTCTATCTGCTGCTTTTTATGGGAGATGCCATTCTGCCCACCAGCCAGACCGGGCTTCTTAAGAGGGGGGCTACCAGCCTTGTCTCAAGGTCCATCAGAAGCCAGTGGACAACGTTGCTGTATTGTCCAGAAAGGCATTTAGTCGGCATTCTGGTCCAGTGTCCCCTTGTTGAAAGTGAACCAAGGGGACCTTTTTTTGATACCATTTTAGCAGTTCCACCTTCTTGTGGTTCTTTTGCTTGATGAGGCATGAAATTTGGCTTCAGGAGGTTTGACCCACAAAACATAAAATGCATGACTCCATCCCATTTTCCTTTTTTTTTGCAGCTCTGTGTCTCAGATATGACTGTCAACAATCCCTTTATTTGATATTCCTCAAACCAAGGAAAGAAGGCATAAGTTTTGGTGAAAGTGTGGGTGGTGGTCTCCTTTCCTAGGAATATTAACTGAAATCATGTTTTCTGATGCAATTGGTTTATTCTCAAAGAATTCTTTGGGTTTTTTTCTTTAGTAGTCTCTAGTACAGAAAGGTTTTTGAAACAGAGTGAAAAACGTCCTTGCTTTGGTGTATGGCAGGATAAATTACTGCAATTTACTTGCCTATCTGTTTCTGAAACAAAACTGGACCGCCGATAGGATGCCATTTACTCTGTTGGGCAGAACTGCTAAGTCTGTAGGTGGTTGCAAGAGGAGCTCTGAACATAGCATGCTCTGCTCCATCTTCCCAGCCACAGACACGGTTGTCAGTCTGTCCAGGCATCGCACGATGCAAACAAAATGGTGCGATGCCGTATTTGCAATGTATTTCTTGCCTCCCATGCTTGGGTCCATAGGATTACTTCTGCTACAGGAATCACCATTCGTTTGCACCCTGGGACTTGCTGCCAGGCTTACTGCGGCCACAGGCTGGTGGGGGGGACGGTGTTGGAGCTGGTTTGGGGTAATCTCAAAGGGCAGTTTAGATACTACTCTTACTTACTGTGTAGTATAGTATACGCTTGACTCACTGGGCTCTTGAAATAAAACATATTGTCACTCTACAGACTCTACAGTCTTTAAGGGTGGTATATGCTTCACAATGATCTCGTCAAAAAGTTTTGAAAAACCTGAGCAAGCCTTACGTCATCTTTGCCAAGCAGGGAAAACTGGTACAGAGAGACTGGATGAAAAATACCTTCACAACAAGTCATCAACTGCATCTAGCGTTGAAGGAAAATTTGTTTGTGTCAAATATGCTGGAGAAATTGTTTCAGACTGTTAAGTAGTAGTAATAAATATCCTCAGTTATGTTCTCATAGGGTCATTGAGATCTGTTGTGATCTGATGAGGAAATGCCATTTGAACAAAAATTCAAGCTGTCTGGATGATGCCGCCACTTGTGCAGTTAGATTTTCCAAGAATTGGAAAAATTGAACTCTTCCACAGAAAATTTCTTTTATTTTCATTTTCATGGAAAAAAAAAGCAAATACCTGGGCTACTCAAAAATATGTAAAAGAGTCTTAAAATACAAAACCTCAAATTGCACTGTATTTTTGTACAAAATGAGTACAAATAAAAACGACTATGGGAGTGTGTAGTGCATTAAGCATAGTGCTTGAAAGATCAAAGTACTTATCGTTTCATGCTGGAAGTTTCCTTAACTATGAAATAATGTACTTTCTGGCATACATTATAGCTTGTTAAAGGGACTGATTTGGTCTGGGCAATAAACATCATGTCAAACATTATGGCAGAAAAACCTGCTTAATATGGTTTGTAGTAAGACAGAATTTTTTGTTCTTGAAAACATCTGCCAACTGAATTCACGAGTGAAGACAGAAAATGTCATCAATTCAGTAACAATCTTATAAATTTGGTTTCTTTTTTGTTCATGCAAACCAAGGAAAAAACTTCTTGATAATCAGCATTGACTATAATACTTTATGGAATGATTAAACAAAAGCATTTTACTTTTATATAACATGCTAATGAATGCATATGAATTTTAATACTCTTACTGTTCAGATTTTTAACAAGCATATTGCCAGCAGATCATTTTAAAAGCATCTGTTTTTTAATGTGTTGAATGGCGGATTGAGTCAAATAGCTAAATATGTACATACATCGTTTTAAAAAACATATTTCTATCCTTATAGATACTACCATTTTTTCTTAGACCACCAGAGGCTGCTGCTGTACATATTGGCTAATGCTTCCCCCCAGAAACTTAATACCCTAGCCAACCTTCATTTATTACTGAACTAAACTGAGAATTTGTTGATCTCTAACCTTTTTCTATGGAAACAGATCATACAGGCTTAAATGGGACATGATTATTCCCTCCATCCTCCAAGCCATCTCCCACTCCCTACAGATTTTCACATTTACAGTGTCTTCTCTATGTTAAAAGACACTTAGAAATGTAAATCAGTATTTATCCCCTTCTAAATAGCATTCACCACTTAAACAAGTATACTGAATGGATTCTGAAATGTTATTAAAGGAAAAAGTATAAATCGCATAATTTTATAATAATAGTAATTTGCAATAATGTTGTTGCCACAATAGTGGAAGGATATCAAAGAAGCAATGAAGGAAGAAGTAGGAAGAAGTACATTTATCAGACCAACCGATGGGGTCAGGTTTTCTGGGCAAAAGGGGTAAGCCTTTCCTAGGCCTGTACAATAGGAATTTTGTCCTTTCTTTTAACTGACCTTAGCCGCTTTAATAATTCTTCCTGCAAATACTATTTTTACTACAGCACAACCTATAACAGCGCTATTTATAGTAATAGCATATCAATGAAATGAAATTAATTTTGGATGTAACATACTTTTCAAAAATAATTTTTCCTGTTTTCTGCGAGAGATTAAATAGAAGAAGATCGTGTGCAACTGATTAATTCATTTTAACTAAAAATGGTCGCATCAGGATAATTTGTGCCAGTATTTAGGAGAAAGTGGTAAAAAAAGGCAGGTTTATTAACGTACGGTTAAGCACGCAGCGACTGCTGGTGGGCAGGAGACGCCGGCAAGCGCGCGAGCGCAGTTGTGCGGTTTCTGCTTGTGGTTCGGTACGGCTGACGCGAGCCGTTGCCCGGCCGAAGGTCACCGCGGAGCGTCCGCTTGTGCGGGGTGACCTTTCGGTGCGGCGGATTTATTTCCCACGCTGGAGGCGGAGCCGTTTCCCGGCGTAGCCGCGGTCCCGCCAGCTGCGCGGGTCTGGCCCCGTGGCCGTCCCTGGGCAGATGCCGGCTCCCTCTGCCGACCCTGTGACTTGGCAAGGTGGGCGCCTGCTCTCGCCCAGAGCCTGCGTGACTGCATTAGCGTGCTGCTGAGACCGAGCTAATAAGCCCTTTATTCCACCAGAAGAGACAAAATGACAAGCGCTAGGCAGACAGCTCCCAAGAGGGAAGGGACATGCTCCAGCACAGAGCTGCGCATCAGGACTCGAACCTCCAAAGTCTCAGTCCAATGTTTATGTCACGGCGCCTTTTTTTTTTTTCCCCCTCTTACAACTATAAGCGTTATTTTACCTACACCTCTGAAATAACACATGGTTTTGCTTTGTCCGTATTTACCTTTTAAAGCCCATTACTTCCTTACGTTCTTGAGAAATCTCTTCCACTTCTAAGCAACAGCAAAATCATGCTGGCAATGGAAGACTCGTGAAAACTGCTTAGAAACTACCCTAGCTTTATTGTTCCACTGGGTGTTCGGCGTTAAAAAAAGACCACAGTTCAGGTGCTGGGATGTAAACGCGTAGTGACGTTCTGGGTGCCACCGGGTATTTGGGACACCTGGAG